CGTGGTGTCACTCCGATCGAGGCGACCCATTCACATAGTTATCTCCCACACTTAAATAACTCATATATGATTGCAAGAGGAAGCGAAAAGTGGCATTATGTACTTCGCCTATGGAATGTAACAAGAGAAAGAACGGGATTGGTTTTAGCACAAAGGGTGTGAGACCTAGTCTAGTCTTTCACTGATAGTTAGCTACAATGTTCCTAAGTGCTATTGGCTATGTGCAAAGCGAGTAGTGGTGGACAGATAACGACCGCAGCGCATAACACGGCAAAAATTTGAAACAAATGCGGATGATCAGCTGTCGGTTTTTATTATTATATTAATTTTACAGTAAAACTATTTATTTAATAAGTCACACTTAAATAATGTCGACAATACTATTTTAATCTTTGGTTTTATTTATATTTGCAAAGAAAATTATAATGTTTACATTGTTAATATTTGACAGCTTCCGCAAATTTTGTAATCGCAACGCGTCTTCACCGTCGCGCACATAGCCAATAGGCTGGAAAACATCACCCTACGACCAATAGGAGTCGAGCAGCTGGTGAAACCGCACGGCACTAGCTAATTATTTCTAAAGAAGTTATTTGTTAAAGCAACTACTCTAATGCGATTGTAATCGAGAAAAAATGGGTCTATTACTTTTAGTAAAAGTAAGCTTTTATTCTAACAAGATTCCAGTTATCTCGTGAACCTAGAATATCACAATTAAATCAACGAGAGCGCAACAAAATATTATGTTCAAGAGTACGCAACGAGTCTCCAGGAATTTTATGTTTCGCGGATTACGGATAAAAGTCGCTCCTCTACGCTACGCCTTGATTGAAACACGTGTTACAAATAAAATAGTAATTCCTTTTTATTGTCAAAGAATCGTATCCATCCCATCTATAAGGCAGGACCAATCAAATAAACATCAACATCGCATCTCGTCCGTTTACTGTGTACCCCTAATTTATTATTTACAACAAAAGTCGGCGGAACTACGCTGCTTTTGGGAATTTCCCATTTCTGACGGAAGTAAACTATGAAATATGAACGTGTACTGAACTGCTTCGAATGATTATTTGTTTATTTTATTGTTATTGAACTTTTGCAAGTAATGAGTATAAGTGAATAACAAATCATAATTTAACGGTCTCACAAAATACCGGCATTAAAATACCACAGCTTTGTGTTACGTTGTGTGTGTTTTGTGGATACGCCATCTTTCCCCTCCCCCCGTCACTCTTCAATCCCTTAATCTCAGAAATCCTCGTCCCCAAAAGGCAACGCACTTGTACCTCCTCGGTGTCTCGCGTATCCTTGGGCGGCGTGGATTGCTTACCATCAGGTAAACAGTCTGCTAGTGTGTCATGTAAAACCATCTCCTCCTCAAAATTGTTTAAGGTCAAGATTATTAGTCAATAGTAGTTTTGATAACTACCTCCGGCCAGTGACTTCACCTGCGTTGCCTAGATGAAATGTAACGTATGATGTGTTAATCCAGACTATGATTTCAGCTCTCAACTTTGATCAGAATTAATTCAGTAGTCTTTACGTGAAACGTCACAAACGTCATATTAGTTGGATAAGTAATATTCAATTGTATTTCTAGTAAGTCCATCCTTTACTGACTCATAATTTTAATATGGTATGGTAGTGACGTAACATTACATTATTTACAAACTAAACAGAAATTGGGACACAACACAGATTAAATCTACGAACGAAAACTAAAAGATTAATTTCCCAACAACAACACTAAGGACCGAATAAAATCCTCGTCCATTACAGTAACTTTTCCCAAACACTGGGCCCATTGGGAATAAAGTTTTACTGCATTCCCATTAGCTACGGCGTATTATCAAAAATAAAGTAAGTTGGATGCCCAATGGTACGGAAAACGAATGGAGCTAGTGTTTAATAAGTCCAGAAATTCATTCATTTATAAATCCAGAACTTCGTTCATTCGGTGGCTTTGTGATCGGATTTATGTTTTAAATTCAACGTGGAATGTAATAAAATATTACGTTCGATCAATTTTGTTCAATAACGTGTTATTTTATTACACATATTCATATGTGGCCTTTTCTGGTGTTGGTATAAATGTAAAATTAAACATTTATATTTATTGCCACTGTAGAATGGAGTAAGCTTAACGTCGAATACGTTGTTTTCTCTAGGAGTGGGTACTTATATTTATAAATTATAACTCATTTAGCACTATTACTACGTTGAAATTCTTGTCAATTACTTTTGATTGTGAATCTTCGGAAAACGAGCCAACGGATTACCTGATAGTAAGCAATTGGCACCGCCTTTCCCTGCAACACCAGAGGAGTTACGAGTGCTGTGGCCTTTTTGATATGTGTTTAGGAGTTTTAGGGATTGAGGAAGGATGGCGGGAGGTGATGGGTTGCACCTCCGGTAACTTCAATCAAATGGCTCGAGACAGCAAAACAATAAAAAAAAAATTTAAAGATTTTCCGAAGTCTCTACTCGATTAGAATTACCAATGGTACTTTTCATGTCTAACTTAAAAGCCGCCATGAAAATCAACTAAAGAATGAAATACTTAACAACACAAAACTATTTCATAGTTTCCCCAAAAAGTCTTCTTTAAAATACTAGACTAGCTTCTGTGACTTTCAGAAACCACTTTATCTACAAACTGTCGAACATTATCAAGAACAATGCGAGCTGAAAATCCCAAGAAGCGTTCTGAAGCGTGCGCTCTTAAAATAACCGGAGCAGTTTCATCGATAGAGTTTTATCTATACCTACTAGTTGAGATATCTTTACCAGAAATTTAAAGAAAGGAAAGGTTAATTTTGAAACTTAACAAATAGAATTTTTATTTTTACTTATGGAAACAGTATCATACATAATATCATAATTGCATGATGATAAATAACTCTTCAAATCTAAGTAGCGTAAGGTTTGAGGATGGAATACAGCGCCGGATTCTAAACAAGACTTTTCAAATAATATCATAATTTATGTTTTTGCATTATTTAAATTATCACATCATCATGACTGCACGGTTGGTGCGGTGGCCGGGCAACTGGCTGCCGTGCAACGTGTCGCGGGTTCGATTCCCGCACGGAACAACTCTTTGTGTGATTCACAAATTGTAGTTCCGGGTCTGGGTGTCATGTGTATGTGAAATTGTATGTTTGTAACCGCACCCACGACACAGGAGAAAATCCTAATGTGGGGCAACGTTATTTAAGAGAGAGAGAGAGAGAGCGAAAAGAGAGAAATCGGGTGATGAACAAAACCCTCTTCTCACATGGAAGCAGTTTGAGCATTAATGACCAAACTTGTTCAAGATGGATTGGTGATTGATTTCAAACTCATAATTAGAAATTATAACTGGACTTACGATTTCTAATAAGTTTCTTGCTAATATGATGAAAAAATACATTAATATTATAAGAGATTAAGCTTGTAAAAAATACATTACTTGCATAAAATTATGCAAATGGAAAGAGTCGGGTTTTATCAGATAATAAGGAGCAGTTTATTGGAAAGTAAATCAAGGTAGTACTAAAACTAATGTAATATTAACGGTAATACCCTTGTTTACGAGTATGTATCTTATTATGGTTGGCGTATGGTCTTATATAGAATAAATAATATTTTATAATACCATTATCTCCTATTGGTCGTAGCATTATCTTTAATAGATTAAAAGCTTCCTCGGTAAATTAACTGTGAACTATCTGACACACAAAAAGAATCGTTCAATTCGAACCAATAGCTGAACTACTAGTTCGAATGTGCAACGAAATTAGAAAGGTGCCAGCTAACTTACAGGAGCGTGTCGAATACACGTGTGAGACTCGGGTCCGGTCGCAGACTGGTTCTTTAAACAAGAAACAATATTAAAGGCATTGAGCGGTTCAAACTGAAGTCATTTTCAAGAGTATTCAGGTAATTTAATCCATAAACAGGCACTTTTAAAACTTCAACGATATTTGTTTATGTTTAAGTGTGGGAGAAAAATAATCCTCGAATCTTCTTTCCTTAAATCCCTAATAATCCAAAAGACGCAATCACGCATCCTTTTGTATTTTTTTTGTGAGGGGAAAATCATCGTATGATTTTTCATCGGTAGTGTCAGACTCATACTGACTAAAAATCCCCCGTTCCTTATCTTGCTTTGGGCCGAGGTCGCGGTGCCTCATTACGCTTATCCCGCAACCCCGGCTGAACAGAAGCCCTATAGAGCCCCGTCTGGGGTTGTCTATTGGCTCTTTGAGGTGCGCGCGGAACACTACGCGCCATACGCTCGGGTCTGGTTCTGGTCGGGCGACGAGCTACCCTTACTCGCTGTCTGCAGACCCGCGCATCCTTTTCTATTACGAATGTCCATGGGCGGCGCTGATTGCTTACCATCAGGTAAACGGCTTGCTCATTTGCCGACCTATGACACATAAAATCTATAATTTTCTCTGAGAGATTAACGGTCCAATCAAAAGAAAAAAACTGTTTGTACAAATTAGTCTCATCGCAACTTTATGACATGGTTATTCACAGATGCTTACATATCAACTTCCTGAGCTGGTTACTTGCTGTACTATTTTATATCAAATCAACTAAATCTCTGATGATTTTGATTTTTTATTTTCGAGTCTTATATTAGTATTATCTTCTGTGTCGTAAACGTTTAAATACAATTTCACATACACATCACACCCAGACCAGAAACAACAATTAGTGGATTGCAGAAAGAGTTGTTCCATGCGAGAATCAAACCCGCGACACGTTGCTCGGCAGCTAGTTGCCCAGTCACCACGCGCCAACCGTGCAGACAATATTAATAAGGAAGTATAAAAAACTTTAAATAATGAACTCGTACTTTTCACTTCATTGGTGACCCCGGCGTGATATAAATTCAAATAACCTACAGTTTATTTAAATAACTTAAAATAAATTACCCATTTTGTATTATTTATTTACTATCCATTACGTAATAACTGTGTTTTCATCATTACAGTACTTTAATATTAATTTTGTTTTGTTACAGGAACGAAAGAATTGAAAACAAAGTTGGACTGAAAATTTGGTAAGTGAAAAACTTACTTACTTAGAAATTCTAAGATTAAATAAAAATTTAGTTTCTTCGTATTCGCAATCAACGGAATAGAAATTCATTTCTTTTTTTTTTATTGATTATACGTTCGCGCTTGACCGCTATCTCACCTGATGGAAAGCGACGATGCGGTCGACGATGGAGCGCGCTTACCTAGTAACCTATTCACTCTTGACTTAAAGATACCCAGATTGTAACTATCAGGAAACACCGACTCCGGCAAGGAATTCCACTCCTTGGCTGTACGCATGATGAATGTGCTCCCAAAACGTTTTGTACGTATATGTGGGACATCCACCATGTACCGGTGGCGCAATGCCGTACGTCTGGTGGTCCGATGATGGAACTGGCTAGGCGGAATTAAATTATGTAATTCCAACGCACATTCCCCGAAATGCAACCGGTATAAAACCGACAGGCTAGCAACTCGGCGTCGATGCTCAAGACTTTGAAGTCTCGAGTCGACAAGTGCATCATCGCCAATGATCCTCTTGGCTCGCCTCTCAATAGACTCAAGCGCATCAAGTTGGTATCGGGCAGATCCGTCCCAAAGATGAGAGCATTCTAATTATAATAGCTATATGCTTTTCTAAAAATCTTTTAACACACCAATTGGTAACAACAATTTTATTACGAAATTCCCAATTAATGGAACATTTCCCATTCCAAATTTAAATAAAAAATTCCAAGAAAAAAAAAACAAATTCCCGTCGCGCCCAGAACATCGGAAACCACAGAGTAGAAAATTTGTGCACTAAATGTACATAGCTGAGCAGTTTAACATAATTTATGTGGTTCCCCAAAAGAATTCTAAATAAAATATTTACTATCTGTCTGTCAGTAACATCGTAAAACGAGTGGAATCGGTAAGAAACGAAATTAGATAAACTTCAAGGTGCGTGCCGTATTCGCGTGTTAAAGGTTCCGTATAGATGAAGAGGAAAATTTAGGGTCGTTGCACATCAAAGTGCAAATCAGAGTTCGTCATCGATCCAGACTCAGTCGTATGTCGTTGTGACCCGGAGGTTAAGGCACCCTCTTCTTATGCGTTAGGGTGTGTGGCTTTGACGTATTTATTTTACGTACTTTCTATGATTATTTAGACACCACTGACACGGTGAAGGGAAACATCGCGAGGAAACCTGAACCTATAATTTCTAACCTAAGTTTCAAATCACCAATCTGCCTTGAACTAGCTTTATGATTAGTTTACACCTTCTCCGTTTCAGAAGAGACATTTGTTCAGCAATGGGCACTTATACACTGACGATGTAGTAGTTTTCAAAGCACTTATTTCAATGAATCCTTAAATAAGCACGCTTATAAAGTCTAATTTGATTTGTCCGTCATTCGATCTGTTAGTGAAGATTGGTGCTTCAAATGATAAAGTCCTATACATATGTATAGTATGACGCGGCCCTTACAAGGTAAACATGCAGCAAAATTGTTTCCTCATTCATTTAGATTTTGTATTGTTCCGTTTGCTAATTGTCTTCGTCTTTTTGCTGTTCATTACTGAATTGTAGATCGCTAAGGCCGTTGTTATTTAGTCTGTAATTTTAGTTGGGAAATGTTTAATTCCAAGGTTTTATAGTCAACCTTATTTCCATTATGACTTTAAACTAACTCGCTAGCATCTTAAGGGTGATTTTTCAATGGTTTGATAAAAGTTATATGGGGAATAATTATGATGCTGTCGCGTCAGAATGTTTGTAAAAGACAGTGACAGCAACAATTTTATTCCACAGACAACATTTATGGGACTATTGAAAAATCAGCCCTTAATGAAGTTCAAGAGACATCTGATATATTTTCATTAGTAGTAATCATTTGAAACAAGTTTTTTTATAATTATTAGTGGTAATTTTCTGGCGTTTGGCCACCACCGCCTAATGATAAGCGATGATGCGACCTACGATGGAGCACGCCTAACTATATGCAACTTATTCACTAAGGCCTTGATGACACTATACTCGGAATTTTAATTCCATTCCAGATTTGACAATTTCAGTGTTGCAACGTAACACGTAATAAATAGTGACGTTGCGAAATTATTCGATGTGGAAATCGAATATTTCTGAATCGATTCCTTTCGTTTATAAATTTACTCTCGTAAACTAAGTTTATCAGGAAATAAAATATTTCTGAACGCTGTTACTTTCTGTAACATTTATTATGAATTGTGTCTGTGATTTTTATTGTCAATTAATATATCTAGCTTACTCATTTTTTTCTCTTCTTTGACAACATGGGATACGCATTTAGACCATTCGGTAGCCGCAATTTTTTGAATGCCTTCCTGAAACTGATTCACTGATTGTTTATCGATTTTTGTGTTCATTACTACACTGTTATATGTGGTATCATTATTTCACAAAATGACAGTAGGTCATGTCAAATCAGGAATCGAATTAGTATCGATATGGAATTAGTAGCTTATAACACTATATTGTGTGGTTGAAATAACTTTTAACAAGGACATTTCTTCTACAGATTATTGTCGGGTCAATCGTAATCCAAACACCATGTTACCCATCTCTAGACTTAGTAAATTAGGCTTGAAAAATATGTTATGTGTGTGTATTTAGGTAGTCAGTTAATTAATCAAATGTATAAAAAACACTAACACGATTTACACTGACATTACTTGTGTGTGTGTAAAAATTCCTACATATTAGTATAGACATTTTTGAGGTATTTTGCATAGTCATCAAATTAATTTTTAGTCAGTAATAGACTCTTAATGACTGAAAACCTTCCCATTTCTTCTCCTACTCCAAGGCCAAGGTCACGGGACATTATAACGCATGACCCCAAAACCCCAACTGAGTTTGTTATTGACACTGACATAATATTTACTATGTCAAATTGCCTATACATTCAATCAATAAACTATCTCCTAAATGCCATTTGGCTCGTAGCACTGAATACCAAATAACGCACGGAACCCTAAACGCGGTACTAAATTAGTAAGACAAGATTTATCGATGGGTTTGTATATAAACCGCTACGGTTATGTAGTGTAAAGTTTATGTACTGAACTGTTGCAGAATTTCGATGTAGTGTTGTTTTTTTTAATAGGAAAACGTTAAAGCTTTTGAAGATATTCTTGAGATGATAAACAAGTGTTCTTCAGTTTGATGTTCAAAGGAAATTTTTGTTGTAAGAGGTTTATTCTATTCCTAATACAGAGACAACTGATTGATTCATTTATTCAATGGTTTTGATATTGTGGTCTACAACTTAAGTCTGTACTATTTTTTTCGACACAATTTAGTTTCGACAAAAACGGACCAAATTTAAATTTAGCACTTCCGGCCTTGAATCAGAAGAGGGCTCGATGGGCACATAAGGCATTTTGTTTTCAATTATGTTTTTGAACAACTCCCCAATTTTAATGTCTATGAAAATTTTTCCGAACTCGAATGTCTATTTGGCCTGGGGGCTAACCATGACGTTCAAAGTAGGATTGTTTTAATCTTACTTCAGTGTGGGTGAGAGAAAAAACAACTTGTATAGCTCTTTCTCTTACCCACACTGAAGTGGACGTGATAAAATGTAATCAGCGTTGGTTTGTACACTAGATATTGACTTACGTTTCACAGGTTCAAATTCGGCGTGAACAACTCTGTTTTTGATCCACAAACTGTTGTTTCGGCTCATAGTATTATATTCATCCATGTGATTTTGTTATCTTATAAACGCACCTAAAACGCACCAACAAGAATCCTAGTGTCAGTCAACTTTTTCTTTAATATCTAGCTACTCTCTCACATTTTCATCCCCTCAAATAGAATTCAGATAGCTTTGCAAAAATAACTGTTCAGTTCCAACCTCAGTAGTAGTCTTAGAGGTTCATCGAATGCCTTCCTTTGCCCTGTGTGAGGCTACAACGAGCTTTAGACTCTTACTGACTTAAAACCACCTCGTTCCTTCTCCTGATCCTGGCGCGATCTCCTTATACCCGCGAAGTAAGAACATTCAAACAAATTCTTCAGCTTCATAATAGTATAATAGATACCTAGATAACAAAAAAAATAACAGCAAAACTTCAAAGGACACTGACACTTAGCAACTAGAGTAGGTATACTATCACATAAATAATTCGTTTCTAGTCTTACAAAAAACAATGCTTCTTGGTAACAGAATACGCAATACTACGAGGGAAAACAAACCTTAACTAAAACAACAAACAACATCGTTTCGAACTAAAACGGTGGACGTTACGAAATTAATTCAACAACTTTTCAGATTATCCGCAAACATCAGAGGCGATTTTATCAAAAACTTTTTATCCTATCCGAATAGGTAATTCTTCAATGTTTTCCAAAGGACTATTTATTTGTTGTTCTATTTAATTGATTTTTAATTTTAAAATGATTTGTATTATAGGCACATTTGGAAATTTGTACTTTCATTTTACAGCCCCAAAAGATTAAAATGAGACGTATTTACTAAGTTTCTGTTTTCCTTTCATGTACAACAGAACGGTTTGTCACCAAGGTGTTTTTTTATGTAATAGATCGGCAAACGAGCAGACGGATTACCTGATGGTAAGCAATCAGCGCCGCCCATGGACACCAGCAACGGAGGAGTTACGAGTGCGTTGCCGACTTCTTAGGGATTAGGGTTTTGGAGATTAAGATTTAGGGATTGGGGAGGGGAAGGATTGGGCCTCCGGTAACCTTACTCACACGGCGAAACACAACGCTGTGATTGTTTCACGCCGGTTTTCTGTGAGGCCGTGGTATCACTCCGGTCGAGCCGACCCATTCGTGCCGAAGCATGGCTCTCCCACGCTTAAAGGTGTCTATGTAGGATCTATGTATATGTATATGATAGTATCTATGTAGGATTTCCTAATGGTAGGTAATCGGCGCCGCCCATGGTCACTCGTAATACCAAAGGTGTTACAATAAGGGCGTTGACGACCTTTAGTGGGTTATTAAGGATTTAAGGTTAGGAGATTTGGG